GGGACCGCGGCTCGTCTGGGCGCTCCCGCTGCCCGCGTCCTCCGTGGCTTTGCTCCACGTCTCCCTGGTCCGCTTCCCCTGCCCGCTTCCCCCCCCTCCCCATCAGACCAGGGAGACGCGGAGCAGCTTTTCTCGCCCCGAAGGACGCGGGCGGCGGGACCTCGGTGCGTCTGGGCGGTCCCGCCGCCCTCGTCCTCCGGGGCGAGAAAAGCCCCGTTCATAAGTATGGATCCGACATAAGTCGGATCTGCGTAACTCGGGGACTGCCTGTACTTCTTCAAGACTGTTTCTCTTCATCCGATCCTAGGATTCCTAAGCAAACTTTTACTAGTTACAGACTTCAGGTAGAGCCCTGTCTGTGACTGGATTGCTTTGCTTCAAAAGGCTGCACAAGCATATGTGAAGCATGCTTCTAAACAATGCAGTTAAAGCACACACCGTTTTAAAATTTACCTCAGGAAAAGTTCAATGTGTACGACTGCGGGTGCAATCTTTTCCACCACATCTGCAATGAAGTTGAACTTGTATCTTGGGCTGTTGGGCTGTTGGTGACCTATACTAGCAGAAAAAATTGGGTATGTTAATAAGAAAATACCCTTAGTATCAATTTGATGACTTAAATATGCCTTACATTTGTCTATTGTTCACATGAGGATATTTTCCAACCAGACAGGGTAAAAGAATATAAGCCTTTAAGAGACTTAAACATTGCTTGTGTTCTGCTTTGTCCTGATAAAGAGGCAAGGTCATTTGGCTGAGAACTTCCTTGATTTATAGGCACTCTCAAGGTTTTGTGATGGCCTTGTCTGGCTACTTTTTTCAGAAGTAGTCATAATTGTTATTTTAAATTTCTATTGCACATAGATAGCTAAAACAAGTCAGATCCAACTGTCCCAGGCACTGTACTAAATGACTGTTCTTGACCCCAAAAGCTTATTTATAAATTTATTGTGAAAATCCCAGCTGAAAGGAGATATTCTTCCTTTATTTGTTTCTTTTTCATAATACTGTCAAACTTATTCCTGAATTATAGTAACAGATCATAAGCATTCTAAGAAAAACAAACACCACAACCACTAGGCTTTCAGTGCTATTACTGACACTGAAGTTTGGGATTTCAATTGATCGTGTTCATTAGGGTAGTGCCTGGGGAGAGTGGGGCCCTATTTTACTATGCACTGTACAAACATGACAGTAGATAGTTTTGCCCCAAGTGGAGTGTAGAAAATGTAAAAGATATAGACAATTGTCTCTTAGCACTTTTATAATTAACTCTGTTGCAAATGTTTTGCAATGGCAAATAGTACATTTGTCAAATCACCTGCCATAGCAGAAGCTGTTTGTAAACAACACTTATTGTAATGACTAAGACTCTAGCCCTGATCATGCAGACCCTTATGTTGGTGGGGCTATCCATGACTTCGATGACATGCCACACGAATGAATTCCATTGTAGTTAGGATATAAATCAGTAGAAATATGCAGGAGAATAGCAATACAAATTGAGCTGATTTTTCTCACAAAATAGCAGAAGATCACACTTAACATGTGTAACCAACATTGTGATTCCTTCCCCCTCCCCCACTCAGACTATTATCTATTAAACAGATGATAGAAATCAATGAGGCATCCCACACTGAGGCATAGTGTAGTCATTTCATGATAGATTTAAAATTTGTGCTTAAACCAATAAAGAAATATTCTTGCTTTGTAACACTGCTTGAAGGTCAGTCACAGCTTTCTATTGCTTCTTCAACTACCTCAGTTGTAGTCTTATATACACAGTGTGATGCTCTCAAATGAACTTCAGAGTACTGGATTGCTCAGAGGATTTATAATGACACAGAGCACTTTTCATCTCTAGGTTAGTTCAGATCTAGTGTAACAGCTGCAGTTCCATGCATTATGGGATGGAGTTGGTGGACTCAGCATACATCATAAAACTTATTCCATCACAGCTGCTACCTAAGGGAGTCTTGCAGAATATGGCTTGAATGAGACTGGAACAGAGCCTATTCTGTCACTTAGAACAGAAGTAAGGCCTATTCTATTTAGGCCTGATCTTTTATGCTTCCATCTCAGTCCCTGCACTGAGCTCAGTTCAGGTTAACAGTTTAATTGACCCCAAAATATGTACCTTTTGTATAGTGCTTCAGGGGGGAAAATGTCATATGAATGGAAGAGTCTACTGTAATGAATTAGACTTTTTGGAGCCTAGTCAATGCAACAAGCAACAGGCACAGACAGAAATATCTTTCTGTATAATCTACATTCTTTTCTTTCTACAGCTGCTTACCTTTCTCTTAAAGAAAAGAAGAGAAAGAGAAAGAGAGAAGGAAAACTAGAATAAGAGCAGGGAGACAAAGACAGGTATGGGGAAGGAGAGTTGGACAAAATGGAAAAATAGAGAGGCAGACAGAGGAGAAAGAGGAAGAAAAGAAGCTTTGTAGACACAGCAAAATGAAGCGGCGATTTAAATAATCGCTACTTCATTTACATCAAAATGGCTGCCGCTCTGTGCCGATCAGCTGTTTGTCAGCACAGCGCGGTAGTCTGGATGCTTGGCAGTCAACATCAAAAGCCTTTGTCGACCGTCCCGTTATGCCTCGTGGGATGAAGTTTACTGGTGCGGTCGACCGCTGAGCATCCAGACTACCACGCTGTGCCAACAAACAGCTGATCAGCACAGCGCGGCAGTCATTTTGATGTAAATGAAGTAGCGATTATTTAAATCGCCACTTCATTTTGCTATGTCTACAAAGCTCATCTACATGGCTCCTTCGACGGAGCCATGTAGTGTAGATGTACCCTCAGAGTACATCTAACACAGCAGCACTGTTTTGGAATAACTGATGTTATTTCAAAATAAAATGTGCATTTACACAGCAATCATTATTTCAAAATAATGTCAAGATGGAGGACTTCTTACTCCGACACCTGTAATCCTCATTTCACAAGGAGTAAGGGAAGCTGAAGGAAGAATGCTCTTCCTTCAATTTCCTGCGATGTAGACAGCGCAAAAAGCCAAATTAAGCTATTTTGACTTCAGCTATACAATTGACATAGCTGAAGTTGTGTAGCTTAATCTGACTTTTGCCCTGCTGAAGAGACGTACCCTTGGGAAGCTAAAAATGGTAAGTGAATGGGCAACACAATGGTAAATGAAGTTCATTGTTGACAAATGCAAAATTATATACCACTGGAGGAAAATATTAAACAATTCATACACTTTATAGGGTTTTAAATTAACTGTATCCACTCAGGAAAAGAAGTTGGGTATCACTGTGAAGGCCTCAAATCACTGTGCAACTGGCAGTCAAAAAAGTAAACAGAATGGTAGGATGCATAGGGAGGGAGGCAGAAAATAAAACTGAAACTGTTTTACAGCCTAATGTTCCAAGGAAAGAAGCCTCACATAGACGAAGCTAACTTTAAGACAATTGGGCATTTGTCCAAAGGAATCCCATAGTGGTAACAAACAGCTGTGGTTTTTCTTTTGTTCGAGCAGGATTAGCTTTTTAGTGGAACCTACACGTACATTCAGCAGCTAAGTGTATATGACATTGGCTAAATAGTTTAACTGTCATGGCAAAGTCAGAAGCAGCCTGTCATTTTTACATACATTCTCACTCACTCTGAACAAGATCTCTAACTAATAGGGTATATCTGCTCTAGTTCCTTGTTTGCACAGGATACTGCAAACATGGATCACATAGATCAGACAGCTATAAACAGTGTACATCACATGGGATTCATTAGACTTTCAAATCACAGGCAATTTGCTTGACATCTTGTTCCAATGAAATCTATTTTTCAGAGTTTAAATACAAACAAGTTTAACACATGCCCAGATGTAATATAATGCTATATATTGGTTCTCTGAAAGTCTGAGGGCCCAATCCCCAGTTGGTGTAAACAGTGCTAAAAAGAATGTAGTCTAATGATAAATTACATCTGACCCTGTAGGTCGGATATCTGCTGATGTAATCAGCATATCTCCATTTAAAACAATAGAAATGAACCAATTTACAACAGCTGAGCGTCCAACCCTTTGTGTCCATGTCGAGCAGCCTCTCTGCAGCATTTCCCTACTCTAGCAGAATCAGCAGCTACAGCAGTACAGTGGGTCTCCCAAATGTGGTTGCTCCTGCTGGATCACTAAGCAGTTTTCCAGGTGTGATCTACAGCAGTGGTGTGCAAACTGAGGAGTCTGACCAATATTCCCTCACATCTTTTCCATCCACGTGTGGATTTTTTCCATCAGTGTGCAGAATAAATTTTTATGAGAACAGAGGCATGTGCCAATGTGCACTCCCCATAGAGATAAAAACTTAGCTGTGGGTACTCTGCTAATCATTTGAACCTCCCCTGAGTGAGCACACAAGCACTCAGCTTACTGGGAACACTGTCACTAGGTCTAGACTGCAGGCTTCTTCCAGAAGAAACTTTTCTGGAAGAGATCTCCCAAAAAAATCTTCTTCTGAAAGAGAGCATCCACACTGCCAAAGCGCATTGAAAAAGTGATCTACTTTTTCAACAGATAGCGCCCATTCACTGTGGATGCTATCTCGCATTTAAGCTGTGATTACTATGGACAGAGTGGCCACGAGGACACCTGTGCTTTTTCCTCTTTCCTCTTCTTTCGAAAGAACTCCCTCTTCCCCATCCACACACACCTTTTTCTGAAAGAGCTCTTCCGGAAACAGGCTTCTTCCTTGTAGAAAGAGGTTTACCAATGTTGGAAAAACCCCTCTGTTCTTTCGATTTTTTTTTTCGAAAGAATGCGATTGCAGTGTCGACGTAAGTGATGTTTTTTTGGAAAAACAGCTGTTTCTCAAAAAAAAAACCCTCTGTAGTGTAGACATAGCCTTAGTGTGACTCCTTAGGAGTGGAGAACACAACAAGTTCTCCTGGGAACCATGGAGAGACTTTGTTGATATCATTTGTCACAGGAGGCTTACTAGTGTTCCATAGCCACCCCTGCTGCTGTTTCTGAGTGATACTACAAACATCAGGACAAAAGTAAGGCTGGCAATGGAGTGTTGGTAAGTCTGCTATGAAAAATGGTATTAACAAATCAAGCAGTTAATTTATTTTTATTTTTATTTTTTTAAATCTACATTTGCGATTTTGTAATTCGCTGTGTTTATTACTTCCTAGTAACTTTTACCTAGTCTTATAAACTTAGTAATAAAAATAATTTTAATTCCTTTTGCCAACCAGCAAAAAAGTTTCAGATTACAAGTACTGAAAGGGAGTGTGACAAATTTCATGAATAGTAAAGAGGGGCATGACTGGCAAAGTTTATGAACCCCTGATACACGAGACGGGGGGAAAGAAAATCTGGTAGGAGAAGAAGGAAAAAGGAAAAGGAAAGGAAAGATAGTTGGGGGGTAATAAAGGGAGAGACACACAAACAGAGAAGAGGCTAACAAAATGGGGCAGAAACAATCCCGTACCAAGGAGCACCAACTAGTCTGTAGACAGCTTCATCCTTCTTTTCTTTTCCCTAAGCCAGCATATATTAGAAACACTACAGACCATATACTCAGC